AAGGCGGACGCGCCGATCGCCATGTTCGTCGCGCTCTGCTTCTTCCTCGTTCGTGAAGGACTGCCAGATCTCCCGCCAGGAGGGGCGTACGGAACCTACTATACCGAGTAAGTTGTTTTAGCCTACGCGTTTGAGCAGTTGTCGGTTGTTTATCTTGCTTTCCACATTCATCGAAATATTTTTTCACCTTGCATAATGAATACTAACTCGGTTTGATGTTGCTCCCCCTGCGCCACACTCCCCACAGCTACGGATTCAAGGAGTGCTTGAAGGCTACCTCACATTACCTTCGCGACCGACAGGTGGAGCACATCCGGGCCTCCCCGTTTGTCAGCACGGATAGGGTGCATGGCAAGCACCTTATTTTGTATGCTACTTTCTTCAAGGGGTCGGCCGTCGTGACAGAGTTTGTCACGCTCCTGACCGTCGACCGCACCGACGCGGCTTCCCTCTCCGCCGTTCTCGTGCACTACCTCCAGTCTATCGAGCTGGATCTGCAGAGGATCGTCGGTGTTGCCACCGACGGAGCCTCCGTCATGACTGGTGAGAGGACGGGCGTGGTGGCCCGTCTTCGTGCACGGATTGAACATCTCTTTTCCGCTCACTGCATTGCTCACAGGTCGGTTTGCTGACATGGTTCAAACACTCAAATCCCCTTGCTGCCCATGCATCCTATGTTTACATTCCATCTCCTTCTTTCCTCCTGCCTAATCATAGGGAGTCGTTGGCGGCGAAGGACGCGGCGAACCTAAACCCGGCGCTACAGATCGTCGACACCGTCATCCGTGGCTTCGCCGAGTTCGTTGGGCGCTCGAACGTACAGCACTCGCGTTTCATGAACCTGCAGATGGTTTTCTGCTTCACCAACCTTGAAGCCCGGGGGATATACGCCATCTGCTAGCTTGCAAGAGGTGAAGCAGTGCGCCGCTTCGCGGATGTGCTCCCTGCGGCGATCGTCCTGCTTCGAGAAGCCGGGAGCCACCTCTATGACATCGTGACGTCCTTCAAGTTCCAGTACCTGCTCTACTTCCTCGCCGACGTCCTGGCGGAGCTCAACCACCTCAACCTCCGGTTTCAACAGAGGCAAGTGGTCTTCAGAGGAACCCTTTTTCATGCTACTGATACTCTACTGTTGCTGTGTTTAAACTCAACGTCAAGCCATGCACATATTTAGCCGTAACTGGTTATCTCTGTGCACATGATCCTATTGCCCCCCCTGTTGGCAGGTGGACATCACGGTCGTCGCTGCAGTAGTGGCGAACACGTGCAGCCGCATTCAGAGCTGCTACATCAACTGTGGTGATGGTCTTCAGTTTGGCAACGGCGACAGCGAGCTTTTCGGGGCGTTTCTCGACCGCCATGGCTCTGCAGACAAGAGGCAACACCGGGTGTCTGGTGTGGACACCGATGGAAACCCCCAGTCCTTCGTCTACACTCTCCATTAGCGACAGCTGGACGGTGATGAGACGGGCAGTGACTTGGCGTCATGCAACGTCATTGCGAGGAAGTACGCTAGTGATCTAGTCATCGGCATCAACGGCCGCTTCAACGACCTCTACAACCTTGACGGCACGAAGCTCTTCAAGGTGAAGGCCTACCTCAACAACGACGATCTGCGCATGGCCCGCTTCAGGCAGTGGCTGAGGCAGCTGACCGGACTCTTCAGGAACAAGCTCCCTGGTAAGTTGTGTGCTCAGTACATGTGTGTTCACCATGTGAGTTTGCCCAATGTGTTTGCACCTAAAGCACCCATGTCTCACAATCCCCTCTGTTGTTTACTCCTCTTTGTCCCCCTGCAGGTTTCGACTACCAGAAGGCTGTGAGGGAGCTATGGATGTTCACCAGCACCATGGCCTTGCAGTACAAGGACGACGACTTCTACACCGCACTGACCCTCACCCTCAACAACAACGACTGGCAGCGAGGCTACCCCAACATCCTGAGGCTGTGGCAGGCGGTGGCAGTGCTGCCTCTCAGCACTGTCGAGTGCGAGCGTGGGTTCTCTAAACAGAACCAAATCAAGACCTGTGGACGGGGTAGCCTTGGGGATGACCGCTTGGGTGACTTGATGCGATGCAGCTTGCTGGAGTACCAGGTGGACTGGTACGCTGTCATGGCTATCTTCCGTGCAGAGAGGCACTGTCGCCCCACCCGAGACCTTCATGGGGTGAATCCGGCCCCTGCTGCACCTGCTGAGCCCCAGAGAGAGACTCAGCCTCTGGGGGAGCCAGTAGTGGTTGAGTAGGATGTATAGCCGCAGCTAGGGTACATTACTGTTGCATGCTGACTCTTAGAAACTTAAGACACTAGCTTCTTAGACTTAGGAAGCTAGGTTAGCTAGGATACTAGGAAGGCCGCCATGGAATAGCGTACGAAAAGGAAGATCTAGGAGGAGAGGAAAAGTATCGAGAAAGAAGGAGTTCGATTAGGAAGAGAGAGTGGTACAAGGAGGGGATTGTACCCTCTACAGAAAGGTTCAATAACAACTACCAAGCCTATCAATTATATATAACTTATATAATCTTAACACACCCCCTAGGCTTGGTAGTCACACACCCACCCAACACACCACACACCCCTGACACCCTTACACCCCCATGTTCGTAAGCAGCCGGGCATCTACCCCTCGTGCGTGACGTGGTGACATCCCCACCCGCCGAGAGGCAGCAAAGGCAACGGCCGCGGCTGAGGGCTCTCGGCGGTGTGTCACGGCCCGGCGACGACCGGGTAGGAGTTAGCAGCTGCAACAGGAGCAGGAGGAGATGCAGGGGGAAGGGAGAATGGGGGGGGGGGCGGTGGTGAGTCTTCAGCGACGCGCCATAAATGGCGCGGCGCTTACTGGCGGGAGGACGGCGTCCTGAGTGACGCCCGTGGCTGGCGAGCGGGCGGCAGGTCCGGCGGCGCCAACGACGTCGCTTGGCCGGCCGCAGACGGAAGACGCCGCCGCCGCAGCATTATGACGTCGCCACAGTGCGGCGTCAATGCCACGGCGGGACGTCGACGCCGTGCTGACAGCACGACGCCGGCGCTGAGGTGCGGCGTCGACGTTACGCGCTGGGGCCGCGACGGCAGCGCCACGACGACGGTTACACATGGCCGCGACGGCGGCCCGGCAACAACGAGGGAAAGGCACGGCGGAAGCGTAGGGAGCGGGCCTGGTGGAAACGACCGGCTCTGATACCATCTTAGAAACTTAAGACACTAGCTTCTTAGACTTAGAAAGCTAGGTTAGCTAGGATACTAGGAAGGCCGCCATGGAATAGCGTACGAAAGGAAGATCTAGGAGGAAAGGAAAAGTATCGAGAAAGAAGGAGTTCGATTAGGAAGAGAGAGTGGTACAAGGAGGGGATTGTACCCTCTACAGAAAGGTTCAGTAACAACTACCAAACCTATCAATTATATATAACTCATATAATCTTAACAGCTGACATCTAAGTAGCTGTAGGTAGGCTAGCTTAATGAAAGTATGTAGTCGTAGGTAGGTAGGCCATGTAGAGATAACTGTGCATGTTAACTGCAATATTAAATTGCACACTAAAGCGTACTGCAATCAGTGTGCATAAAAAAGTACCCTGAACAGACAGGGTGCGAAAAATTTTAGGCTGCAGAATCAGACTCAAAAAAGAAGTCACCCCTTAGGTCAGGGTGTTTTGCCAGGCAAACCCTGATTCCAAAGTGTGCTCTAAAACCAAATTTGGGCCCTAGTAGGAACACGCTCCAAGGGAGGTGCTATTGGCGTGAAAACTATGCCACCTAACAACACTTGTTGCCTCATTTTCGCTGCTCCCTGCCCTGATTTCTCTCGCTGTCGTTGTTCCCTGCCTGTCTCTCTCGATGCTCCTTCCCAAAGAAAATGTTGACAAGGAAAATTAGGGTGTAAAAGAAGACACCCTGACAGCATCAAGGTATTGACTTTGTTTTCCCAAAACACTTTCTCAGGGTACGCCATTTTTAACTCTTTCTGTCAGGGCAATTTGTTTTTGGTACGCTGATTCCTAAGGGTGGCCTAAAACCAATTTTGGGCCCTGGTAGCGGTAAACAAACTAGCCTTTTCAGACACAAATTACAGACGGTGGCTTTTACAGCCCTACCCTAACAGACTCTCACAACGCGAACACCTCTAGCGAAAATTTCTCGCATCTGTCACTGGCGGCTTTTCGTGCGTGCGGCTCGGCTCGAGCCAGCCCACGAATTGCCCTGCAGAAAGACTCCACTCAGAGTAGCTGCACAGAGCACCTTTCGGCCTCTGCCCCTTCTCGAAGCATCCATGGCTCCTGTCCATAATTCTCCATGCCTTGTCTGTTTATCAGTTCTCGGTGTCTGGCTCACTAGTTCTGCATCTCTAACCTCGCTAGTAATAGATCTGTCCATCTCTAGCCTTGCTGCCTGCTTATTCTCCTCATCGCTTGTACTTTTTATTCTCCAACATTTCACGTTTACCACTCTGCGACTCCGAGTCGACTTAAGTAGCGACCTGCGCTTTCACTGCGTCTTAGTCAACTCAAAGGCACAGTTACCGCCGGGATTAAGGTTTTAGGGTGCGCGGCCGCGCACATAGGCTGCGCGGTTGGGCTCGGCACTCGAGTCGTGGCTTTTGATCGACTCAGGGGCCAAAGTATCTTCCAACGCTTGACCCGTCTACCACTTCGACACACACAGCGACATAGCCCTCACAGGCGACATCCTGCATTGCCTGAATGTGCAGGCTGCGCGGCAGGTAGTACCGCCGGTATATTTCCGCAGGCTGCGCGGCTGGGCTCGGCACGCGTTCCATCGCGGCGTCATCGCGGGTAAGTCTTACACGCTCCGTCGCCTGTTGCGCGGCCTGTCGCATCGAGGCCCTGGGCGAGGCACGCGTTGACGAACCTCTCGAGCATCGAGGCTCCCGGCTTGCTACTGCCTTTTGGCGCGCTGATCGGCCACCGGTGACAATCGCGGGTAAGTCCTAACATAGTAGGATAATATTGGCGAACCCAGGGTAAGGGCAGTCCTGTCAAATGGTAATTCTCTTGATGATTCAAGGAGCAATTTTCGCCCATAATTTCCAATGCACAATAATCGACCACCACAAGCTGAGTGCTCGCATCCATAACAACCGACCCGAAACCGTTTACCAGAGGTAAAGCGGTACATCTTTCATTAACCCCCCCACATAGCCCTGTAGATAACCTAGTCTGGTAGCCACCTAGTCTGCTCGTACTCAGCGGTAACGATGGTAACCACCTTGTCTAGTAACCAACTAGCTGGTAACCACCTCACGTGGCCCAGGCGGTGCATTTCCTGGGCTTGAGGCTGTCATCGTCGCCCTTGATCAGAGACTTGGGCAGGATGACGTCATCCACGCCGTGCACCTGCACTACTCGCAGCGAGATGACGTCAGCAGCCACCACGGAAGCTTCGTCCGCACCGACCTCGGCCTTCACCTGGACTGGCTTGTCCCCGGCAGGTGAGACCTTCACGAGACGCGCCTTGCACGAGTCAGCCGCGGTCTTCAACTGAAGGCGAAAGGGTGGGGGCAGGGATAATGATGGTTATCACGACATGTCGGTGACGGGATTGCAGGCAAATGCCATTGGTTATCATTATCATCGGATGTTCGAAGCAGCAAAACCGATATTTCCTTTCCTGAAGACAGTTGACCCCTCGACGCCGAGGATTATCTTACGGTGATAAGCGCTGTATCGGGGTGCCAAGTTTGTCTCACCTGCTGCCCCTCCTTAAGCCCGACGAGCGCGGCATTGGTGGCTTTGCCTTTGACGAAGTGCATCAGCAGCACCTCGCGAAGCACTTTTCTTTCACCCAGCGACGATTTGGCGTCGCTCGAGAGGTTCGCGAACGCGGCGTCGGTGGGCGCGAAGACGGTCGCCTCGTAGCAGTGGAACAGGTCGGGCAGGTCCTTGTTTAGCTCTGGCGCAGACGGGCAGAAAAAAAACGAGAATGATATTGAGAAATTTAGCGCACAAAAAACCGGGTTGCCTGACGGGCAGAACTGAGCACGGGCTGATGGTTCAAAGGAATGAGCGAAATAACAAATTCCAGTCTCCGATACGAGTGCCTCAGAATTTCAGAATCTGACCTGTTTTCCTGAGCCCGTCTAGGAAGGTGGTGTAGTTGTTGGCCGCCCTGAGCTCCCTCATCAGGTTGCTCACCACCAGCTTGCCGTCGAAGCGGCAGTACGGGCGAGCAGCGTCCGCTGCTAAGGTCAGGCTCAGGAGCGACACGACAAGCAGAGAGAATGCGCGGACGAAATTGGCGGCCATGGCGGGAGAGACTCGTGAATCTGGAGAGATTAAAGCTAGAAATTGTTGGACTTCGGCGGTGTGGTGTGGAAGTGTGAAACTTCGTGTATGCGAGTAGGAGGGATGTACGGTATTGATTTGAATGAAGTGAAACAGCAATATCCGCAACATTTATACGAGTACACTGCGCTGATCATTCGCTCCCGTCCGTACCAGCAGCAGCAGCTGGCCTCAAACGAGGAAGCAGGAGGAATGGCGGTTCGTTTTTTTGACGGTGATAGAAATGCGACGCGAACTGCTTCCTTTGGGGAATCCAGGAAGCGGCCGCCGTCAACTAGCCGCTGGTTTGCGATGGCGTGGAAGCTGCAGCTGGTTGATTCGGTCCCGTAATTCATTCTTTACCAATCATCGCCTTGGAAAGTGATTGTCCGCGCACTGCACTGTTAGGAAAGGGCGCAGTCTGACATATAATGCGGTTTCAGGTTTGCTCTGAAGCGAATAGGCTCTGAAGCGCAGGCAGGTTTGCTCTGAAGCGCAGTATGAAAGCACTCGTCAACTCATCTTCACAGTTGACATGAAATGTGGTTACAGGTTTGCTCTGAAGCGGAGAGTATCATGAGTAATTGCGCCTATATCTGTTGTGGAGTATCATCAAAATTGGTAATCGTTGGCATTTGTGATCGGTTCGAGGTACCGATTCTAGAACGGGCCCTCGTGACCCGGCCGTACCGCGGCTCAAACCGCTTGTGGTGGCGCTGGTGGGACGGGGAGTTCGCGACATATTCTGGAGGCGTGTGTAACACTGAACGATAATCCCAAGTTTTGTTCCATATGATGGGATTGAGACAACATTTACATTCCATCTTTTTGCATATGATTGAGAAGTCCTCGTATACAAGTCAGCACAAAAGAACAAGGGCAAAGCGTTTGCACAAATAAATACACAGCATCATTTCCCCCAGGAAAATTTCTTTTCGGGTTTTGGCTTCAACAGGGAAAACCAGCAAACGGACCCTCCTCTCGAAATGCAGCTTCAAGTTCCTACATCCAACACCTTGGGTCTGCACGACAAGGAGAACCAAAGATTCCAGCCCGCCTGTCCTTGCAGATGCTGCTGCTGTTGATGTGCCTGGAGATGCTGTGCCGCCGATGCACCCGTGCGGCACAGCATGGTCAGAGAGAACAAACCTCCGAAGCTACCGGTACCTAGATGGTGGGTGAGCGGCGGACTTTCTCCAGCGAGCTCTGCACTTTGAGTAGAGCCAGCTTGTCCTTGCCGATGCTGCTGCTCTTGATGTGGTCCGGGATGCTGTGCCGATGCATCATGGTCACAAACTCGTTATAGTCAATGCAGTCATCCTGCACAGGCACAGGGGGAAACAGGAGGTATGGATTTATTTTATTAATAGGAAATGCTAGCCTCAGCATGGGAACCCACCACACTAGCATCAGCATGGGAACGGGGAACCCAACACGCTAGCATCAGCATGGGAACCCACCACGCTTGTTGCCGTCCACTTCCTGCATCATCTCCTGCACGTTCTCCAACCTGACACAGCAACATGCGTTGGGCCTGACTGGCCGTGCTCCACATCCGCATGCACACCATCATCACAACAGGAGCTCTGAAATTGGACCCCACCGACTCACCTTGTTCACCTCCACCTCCTGCATCATCTCCTTCACGTTGTCATGTGGTGGGCCACAACAACTCCTACGAAGCCCCCAACACGGGAACGCCCCAAGCCAACATTAGCATCGGCCCTCGGGGTTCACGTTATTCACGTCCACCTCCTGCATCATCTCCTCCACGCTCTAGTCCGACAGGGTATCACGCCACATCCACATGCTCACCCTCATTGCATAGTGGGCACCTCCTCCTAATCCTGCAGCATCGAACCCCACGCACCTTGTTGACGTCCACCTCCTGCATCATCTCCTCCACGTTCTCCGGACCGATGCCAAACTCCTCACACACCTGCGGACCAGCCACGGGGGGGTGCAGAGGGACACACGCCACCGGGAATGGAATGTCGATATCTGTGTGAGCACAGCACAGCACGGGGCATGCCGGGAAAAGTGTGTGGCTCATCCCGTAGCTCATCCCGTTTCTGAAAAGATCCGCCAGCGCCGTTGTCGGAGTACCGGAACACTTGGTGCACTACTCCTTGACTTGACCCCTGCAAGCTGGAATTGTGTACCCTCGAATCATGCCGTCCCAAGCAACCACCAAAACGCACCTTTTCCCGTGTGAGAAAGCCACCTCTCGTCATCCTTCACCCATTTCACCCACCTGGCTGAGCTCATCCCTGGTAATAAACCCGCTGCCGTCCTTGTCGAAGTATTGAAAAGCCTGGTGCAGGTTCTCCTCCTTGATCATGCGGTTGAGTCCAAGCGTGGCGGCAAAGAACTCGTTCACAGAAATGCTGTCACTGTCGTTGATGTCCATCTGAAGGGGGGGGGGGGAGGGGGGGGGGGAGGAGGGAGGCGGGGAAGGGGTTGATGGAAAGGAGGGTAGGAGAGGAGAGGCGGTGAGATGGAAAGATGGAGAGCATTGGAGCGCCAAGCGTGGCGGCGGCGAACTTATTCATGTTACTGCTGTCACTGTGGTTGATTTCCATCTGGGCGTGGGGTGTGTGGGGGGGGGGGGAGGGGGGGAAGGAGAGGGGGGGAGAAGAGGAAGAGATGGGGAGAGAAGGATCGGCTTAACAAGGCCACACAGGAACCAAGCACCAAGACCACGCACGCTGCTGGCTTACCTTAACACAGAATAGAGCTGCCTGAGCCCCCCCTCGTTCATCTTGGCCCCCACTTCTGCAGCCATCGCCGCATCCAGGGACGATCACTCACCAACCACAAGCGCATCCAGGGAGAGCATGCAGGGAGCGCATCACACCCGCAAGCAAGCAAGGCGGCTTACCGCAGAGTACAGCTCCCGGAGCTCGCCCTCGTTCATCTTGGCGCCCATCTTCTGCAGCCCCCGCCGCATCTCATCGAGGGACAGCGACCCACTTTGGTCCATGTCGATCTGGTTGAAGATCTCGCGCATCCCCAAGATCTCCTCCTCCGTCAGATGTTGCGCCACCACCTGGTGCATGGGGCATTGCCATGGGGCATTGCCATGGGGCATTGCCATGGGGCATTGACATGGGGCATTGACATGGGGCATTGCCATGGGGCATGGGATATGAGGCATGGTGCATGGGATACAGGGTGAGGGGTATGGAATATGGGGTATGGTGCATGGGGAATGGGGCATGGGGTATGGGGGTATGGAGTATGCGGGAAGAAGCATGGGGCATAGGGCATGGCCGATGGGTTATGTGGCACATGGCATAGCGCATGGGATATGAGGTACAGGAGGCATAGAGTGGCATAGCATGGGCAACAACCTCTCTCAATTCACGGACCTATGAGGCAGGACACATGGTGGGCAACAGAACCAGCCCACCTGCGAGGCGAGCTTTCTGATGTGCGTCATGGCGGCATAGCGCTTGATTCTGGTGACCACCGTCGGGTCCATGGGCGTGTCTGGCGCCACCCCCACTTCGCTCACCCACGGGTGTTCTGCAGAACAGGAATATGACAGGGCGGGCGAAGGGGAACGTCGGGCACGGCACAGATGCCAGATTTGAGACGTTTCAGAAGTGGGGTCCATGGGAGTGTCTGGCGCCACCCCCACTTCGCTCACCCACGGTGCTCTGCCTGGCAGAGGGAAGATAGTCCAGGCAGGGGAAGGTAGGGAAGAGCGAGGAGGAATTGGATATATAAGGGGTTACGGACGGCTGAGGAGGAATGAATGAAGCGTTGTGCCTGTGGCCCGCTCACATCCCATCCTTTTCCAACCGTGGCAGTCAGCCTCCCACCCAGCAGTTGCGTGGCTGGAGGTAAGGGGTTACGACCCATCATGCCTTGCTTGCACTGCACCCCTTGTCAAGACGAGAGCAGCCAACACCAGCCACCCACCCACAGCATGCCCCGAGCAGTCCACTCACCCGGCACTTGTTTGGCTGTCCGTCTAGAGGCTGGGTTGAGGTCCCACATGCCTCGCAGGCTTGCACCATGCCAGGCCCTGACTGACACCCTGCGCCTTCAACCACGTCACCACAAGCTCGCCACCCACCAGGCACTTGCCTAGCTGGAAGGCGCATGGCGGGGTTGTGGGTCCAGTATGCACCGCACCATCTCCTTGACTACCCCCACCCAAAGTCCTCAGCACTCAACCCTCCCTTGACCGTCCACGCGCACACAATCACCGACCCACATACAATCACCGACCCACATACAATCACCGACCCACACACAATCACCAACCCACACACAATCACCAACCCACACACGGGGAGACCACCCACCCAGCACTTGCTTGGCGGTCCACCGCGTGGTGGGGTTGCGGTCCAGCATGCCCTGCACCACCTCCTTGGCGTCATCTGATATCAACGGCCACGGGTCGCTCTCATAGTCGATCTCGTCGTACATGATGGCGCAGAACAGCTCGTCCATGGTGGGCAGATCTGAGGTGGGGGGGGAGGAGAGGGGTGGGGGGAGGGGGGAGAAAGAGGGGCATGAAGAGGGGCATGAAGAGGGGCATGAAGAGGGGGCCTGGGGAGGACATCAAGGGACAAGGAGAGGCAGAGAGAGAGAGGGGGCTCGCTGTCGTAGTCCATCTCGTCCTACATGTTGGCGCAGAAGAGCCCGCCCATGGTGGGCAGGTCTGCAGCATCGGAGATGGGGAGAGAGAGCGGGGATCGGGGAGGTGGAAGGTGAAGGGACACATGAAGAGAAGCTCGATGTCAAAGTCAGTCTCGTCCTACATGTTGGCACCCACAGGGCCGAGGTGCATTCTTAGGGGGGCGGACATAAGAGCATAGCTATGGGGAAAGGGCAGCAGGGGCAGCACCTGCAGGAAAGGGTCAGGATTCGCAGAGCAGCATGTAGAGGATCACCACTGCGCTCCAAACGTCCACCTTGAGCCCGTAATGGCTTCAAGTAGACATGGGCACAAGCCGAGCCACACCTGGCTCAGCTCGGCTCAGCTCGCCTCGCCTTAAGGTCGGGCCGAGCCTCTTTTTTTTACACCTAAACTTGTACACGCGCCCCAAACATAGCAGATGATCAGCTAAACAATCTGGACCATCCCCCGGCCCGGACTAGAGACCCCGAACCCCGTGGCCCCAATTGAGAGCCCACACAAGCCCCCCTGACGAGCCGAGCCAAGCTGGCTCGCCGGTGAGCCGGCCCCGGCTCGACCCCATTCTCACGAGCCGAGCCGGGGATCCTGCGGACCCGGCTCGAGGCAAGCCGAGCCAGGCTCCGCTCACGCCCAGGTGTTGCTTCAAGTGAAGTCAAGATGATACCTGTGGGGGAGGCACTAGGTGCATACTTGAAGGAACCGGGCGGGCAGTTCCTGAAGGAACCGGCAGCAGTTGCAGTGCATACCCGTGGGGAAGGGGCAGTAGCCGCAGAGCAGCATGTAGAGGATGACCCCTGCGCTCCACACGTCCACCTCAGGCCCGTAGTGGCAGCCGTTGGTGCGCACCATCTCCGGCGCTAGATACAGGGGACTGCCTGCTAGACCTGCTGATATGGGCTCGCCTGAACGAGGGGGGAGGGGAGGAGGGAGGGGGTGGAGGAGGAGGAGAGGAGATAGCAGAGTTTTGCACATGCTTGAATAGATGCGTCCAATCTGTCCTTGTCCCGATGTGGTGCTTTATCTCTGAACGCCCTTACCGAAGAGCTCGTCCCTACCCGGGGTGAAGAAGAGCGAGAGGCCGAAGTCGATGGTCTTGAGCGGCGCGTCGTCGCTGCCGTTGGCAAAGAGGAAGTTCTCGGGCTTGAGGTCGCGGTGCACCACGTTCATGGTGTGGCAGTAGTCCACTACGGACACCATCGTGCTGATCAGCCGGGCCGCATCGCACTCACTGGGGGGTAGGGGCAGGGAGAGAGGGAGGAGGCAATGGAAGCATGCAGGTCGTTCGTGGTGTGGCAATGGCCCAATCGTGCCAATCAGCGAAGCTGCATCGCACTCACAGGGGGGGGGAGAAGCAGGCATGATGCAAGCAGGCATGCATGCAGGGAAGGGGTTAGCCTTGGGGGAATGGTGAACCACGTGCATGCTGTGGCTGTGGCAGTAGTCCACCCACCCGCCACTGATGCCATCCTGCTGACCATACAGTTTTCCCCCACACCACAGCTCTGTCATGAGGTGAGCTGTAAGGCGGCTCTAACCAAGTACAACAAGGCCTTCCACCCCAGTGTAAGGCCTTCCCATCCCACCCCACCTGCCATGCCCCTCCCACCCACCTGCCATGCCCCTCCCACCCACCTGCCATGCCCCTCCCACCCACCTGTCATGCCCCTTCTCTGACCCACCTATAGTGCCCCTTGGCGATGATCCGATCATATAACTCCCCCCCGTTGCACAGCTCCATGACAGTGGCGACGCTCTTGGACTCCTCATACGCCGCCTGCACCTGCATGATGTGAGGATGGCCCACCTCCTAGCTAGCTGTAGAGGCCCCTCTTCCCATCCACCTGCATGGCCCTTCCACGGCCCACCCCACCCATAAGGCCCTTTTAGGGTCCTCCACGCACCTATAACGGCCCCATCAACTCAACCCACCTGTAGTGCCCCTTGGCAATAATGCGGTCGTACAGCTCCCCCCCTTGGCACAACTCCATGACTATAGCCACGCTCTTGGAGTCCTCAAACGCCGCCTGCACCTGCACGATGTGCGGATGCCCCGCCAGGTGGTACAGGATGCCCACCTCGCGCTTCACCTCCGCCAGGGGCGTGCCCAGCATCAGCAGCCGCGTCTTGCTCATCTGCTTCACCGCAAATTCTTCTCCCGTTTTCCGGTGCCGGCACCTGTACGTGGAGCCAAAGTGCCCCTCGCCCAGCTTCTCCCCCAACTCGTACTCCTCTGAGAGGGAGCCTGGGGGAAACAAGGGGAAGGGGGGTGGGGGGGGAGGGGAAGGGGGGAGGGGAAGGGGGGCAGAGGAAGTGGGAACGAGTTCAACCCCTCGCCAGGTGGTACAGAATGTCCACCTCGCACTTCACCTCTGCTAAGGGGGTCCCTAGCATGAGCAGCCGTGTCTTGCTCGTCTGCTTGACCGCAAACACTTTCCCGATCGGCCGGTGCCGGCACCTGTACGTGGAGCCAAAATGCCCCTCGCCCAGCTTCTCCCCCACCTCGTACTCCTCTGAGAGGGAACCTGGGGGGGTGAGGATTTGGGAGGGGGAAGTGTGGGGGAACGGGAGGGAGAGAAAGGGAGGAGCAAGGAGAGAGAGGTGGGACCACTTCCCTCGCCCAGCTTCTCCCCCAGCTCGTATTCTTCTGAGAGCGGGCGTGAGAGCGAGCGTGAGGGTAGGTTGTTGGAGAAAGAGAGGAGGGAATACAGGTCCAAGGGAAAATGGAGGGGGAAAGAGAAAGAGGAGGAAACATTTCCTTTGCCTCAGAGCCAGTCAGAGCCTCACCAGAGGCGAAGCTGATGACGCGTTGGCCCTTGTGCGGCGCGGCATGCTCTTCACAACATCTGTGCACCCTTCCCCTTCCCCCCCGCCTCAAGCATGCCACCATCACTATCACCATTCATTCGTCCAGTCCTTCCAAAACAAGCTCACCAGAGCTGAAGCAGAGGACGGTTTGATTGGACCGCGTGCCGCACGCTCCGCCCAGCACCTGCTCTTCCTATGCTTGAATTATACGCTCTATGCTTGAGTCGGCTCTAGATTAGCCTCACCGGAGATGAAGCTGAGGATGGGCTGGCCCATGTGCGGCATGCTCTTGACCATGGTTGCGCTCCCCCCCAAAGCAGCATGCCCTCGCCACCATCAGCATCGCCATTGGGGTGCTCTCGGGGTGCTGAGGCTGAGGATGGGATCAAGACAGAGCCTCACCGGAGGTGAAGCTGAGAATCGGTTGGCCCGTGTGCGGCATGCTCTTGGCCACGCTGGCTCTGCCCCCACGCAGCATGCCCTTGCCGCCATCGCCATTGCCATACACCATGGCACTAGAGCAGATTCGCCTAAGCACCAAACTAAGCCTCACCGGAGGTGAAGCTGAGAATTGGTTGGCCCGCATGTGGCATGCTCTTGGCCGCGCTGGCTCTCATGCCGCGCAGCATGGCCTCGCCGCCATCGCCATCGCCATCGCCGTTGCGGTGGTTCGTTGACTCCCGTGCCGACCCGCCTAGCGTGCCCTGAAGGTTCCTCCACCCTGAAGTGAGGGCGTGAGCGGAGACGGGGGGATGGGGGGATGGGGACGCGCTTTAGGACCTTTGAACCCAACCCAACCCAACCCAACACAACCCAACCCGACCCGCCTAGCGTGCCCTCAAGGTTCCTCCACCCTGAAGCCACAAGCACAGAGGGGGTTGGGGGATGGACGGATGGGGGGATCGGGGGATTGGGAGATGGGGGGAGATGGGGGGATGGGGGGGTGGGGGGTGGGGGGATGGGGGGATGGGGAGGGAGGCGCTAGGACCTCCCTTGCCAACCCGCCTAGCGTGCCCTGAAGGTTCCTCCACCCTGAAGTGAGGGCCGGAGATGGGTGGGGATCTGGGGAGGTGGGGTTAGCCTTCAAACCCAACCCAACCCAACCCAACCCAACCCAACCCAACCCAACTAGCATGCCCTGAAGGTTCCTCCACCTGGAAGCCACATGCACGGAGGGGAATGGGGGATGGGGGATGGGGGATGGGGGGATGGAGGATGGGGGATGGGGGATAAGGGGATGGGGGATGGGGGGATGGGGGATGGGGGGGTGGGGGATGGGGGATGGGGGGATAAGGGGATGGGGGATGGGGGGTTAAGTGGATGGGGGATGGATGGGGGATGGTGGATGGGGGATGGGAGGATAAGGGGATGGGGGATGGGGATGGGGGGATGGGGGATAAGTGGATGGGGAGCGGTGGGATGGGGGGTGGGGGGATTAGGGGATGGGGGGATAAGGGGATGGGGGATGAGAGGATAAGGGGATGGGGGATGGGGGGATGGGGGATGGGGGGATAAGGGGATGGGGGATGGGGGGATAAGTGGATGGGGGAGGGGGGATGGGGGATAAGTGGATGGGGGATGGGGGATGGGGGATGGGGGGATAAGGGGATGGGGGATAAGGGGATGGGGGGATAAGGGGATGGGGGGATGGGAAGGCGCTTTAGGACCTCCCTTGCCGTCCCGCCTGGTGCACCCTCAAGGTTCCTCCACCCTGAAGCCATGGGCGGGGATAGGGCGGGGATGGGGATAGGGCGGGGATGGGGATAGGGCGGAGATGTGGATAGGGCGGGGATGGGGATAGGGCGGAGATGTGGATAGGGCGGCTATGGGGTTAGGGCAGGAGGGCGGGGAGAACGGAAGATGGGGGATTGTGGAGGAAAGGTGACGGGGGGCAATGTGCAAAGGGACGTCAGAGCCTTCCTTGCAGACCCGCCTAGCACGTCCCGAGGTTCCTCTAAGCCGTCGCCATAGGGGGGGATAGGGCGGAGATGTGGATAGTGCGGAGGCGGGGATAGGGCGGAGGTGGGGAGGTCGGGGGAGAAGAGGGCGGGGAAAGAGGGGGGGTGTGGGAAGGGTGGCGGGGGAGGGAGAAACCCGGAAGGGGCAGAGGTGAGGAGGGGGGGAACAGGGCAGGAGGGGGATGGTAAGGAAGGGGACGGGATAGGTGGCGGGGAAGGGAGTGGTCCTTAGGCGCTTTCAACCCGTTGACCGTTGGCGCTCAAGAAAGGGCGTAAACAATCAGGAGTGCGAGCAAGGCGATGACACCAGCAAGGCGATGGCACGAGCAAGGGGACGACACGAGCAAGGGGAGATGACGCTAACGCGCCTGAGTTAAGGACGGTTGCGATGGCTGAAAGAAGGGCCCTTAGGCTCGTCGTGCGCGAACCATGGTGCGGAGCACGGAGATAACAAGCGCGGCGACGTCTGGCGCAATGTCGGTTTCTGCGCGCTGCACCTCAGGCGCTGCGAGGGGTTGCATTGTGCCAGACGTCGCCTCCAGATACAGTGCACGACGAAGCACGGTGCGTTGCCTCCGGACAGTGTCGCGAGGGTCTGCGGCTAAGTGCAGCGGCACGCTCCGAGTCGACCTGGCTAGGATGGTTTGAGGCGCCTTAATAATCGGTTCGCGGCGAAGTACTGCATGCTCCGAGTCAACCTTGCTAACTAGCAGCGTTATGCTGCTGGAAAGCAAGTCAGGCCTTCTGGGTAGCTTTTTCGCTGCGAAGGAGGAGCATCGGCTGATTGGGGCAGGATAGCAGCTAACCCCAGCCTAATTTCACATTCGCCGCAAAATCTGGCTGCGAAGGAGGAGCATTGGCTGATTGGAGCAGGTCCAGTCCGGCGCGGTTGCTTGCAAGCTCGCAACCGCCATGGGGCACGGCGGCTGGAACTTGCGTCTTGAATGTGATGAGTGTAAGATGAAACACGTGCAATGTAAGATGAAACGCGTGAAATGTAAGATAAAATGATTGCAATGTAAGATGAAATGCGTGAAGTGTAAGATGAAACGCGTGCAATGTAAGATGCCCATGTGAGCGTGGACGACGAAGTGTAGGTGCCGAGGCCTGCTCAATTCCTCATTGTCAGTGATAGATCAAACTACGTATTAGGCGACTCGGTCATCGGAGAAAATCACCTTCATTTGACATCGCTTGATTGTGTCACAAGTCAGAAGCCTTGGCGAATGAAAATGTCCAGAACGTTTGTCAGAGACCTCCGCCTCCCTCGCGGTCTAGGCGTCCAGCTGCTTCGAGGAAACCGCCACCTGGTAGCTAGTTTTTGAAGCAAAGAGATTGGGTTCGGGAGCCCAAGTTGGTAGCGAGTTGAAAGAGGACGAGGAGGCCCACTAACGAGGCCCACTATCTAGCAGCAATACGCGGAGTGATTGAAACTGGCGAGGATATACAGCTCGGTTGAGTGTCGCACTGACGTTACTGGAACGACTAAGTTAGACTGCCAGAAGCACCTCTCTTAACGACCACCTCAAGCCTCGGATGACGGTCGACGAACTCAGGCCAATCTGAAAAAGGAACAGTCGTTTCTACGTTGATACTCCGCCTGATGCGAAGTAATAACCTTATTTGTAAAAGCCGTATCTGAGGAATCTTAGGCTTGGTACTAGTACAAAGTACTAGTCCCAGGAATCATCGCATAGCAGCCGTTGCTGGGAGGGAATCTGGCTGGTGCAGGAGAGCCAGAGGACGCTGACGTGACGTGACGAGGCAGACTGATCACAACTGAGGGTAGAGCAGTGTTGAAAGAGGCTTTCAAGAAGTGTTTTAAAACCGTGGAAAGACGCGTGTCAGGTGGATCGAATGGCGAAGACCGGGTCGCGCGAGGTGGCTAACTCCTCTGCAATACAGTTATTTGTGTCAGTTATGCCTGACATGCAGACTTGACTCGAGCTACAAATATCCTTGTCTGCTTGATCCTTTACGATCTGTCCCTACCTGCCGCCACAGGAACATGGTAAGGAGATGGCTCACCGATTTCTTGACGGCGACACTGGGATTGCCGGCGGTCATATGGTTGCAGCTGACAGCGAAGGCTGAGAGAAAGTGGAAAAAGACGGCCGGACTGACGACTGAACGCTAACTTGTGCCTCCAGTTTCACAAAACTGTTGCATAACAATTTGGTTCATGGACCACACAGCTGCTGTATAACGAGTTTACCATTTTACTGGAACTGAAGTTCTTATAATAAATCGCTCTCTACAGTCAGCCGTGTGAGGTGAGGAGACCCCTGCTTGTAAAGAAGCAGGGTGTGACAGTGTACAGTATGTCCCTTTCAATTCAACATCACTGGCCGGCACTGCTTTGTCTGAGCGTGACTGCTATGGTGCAAATCTTCACATCCTTTCCGCGCACCAATCAAGTCGAGGGAACACGCATCACACAGAATTCAGCGTGTAAGAAACGAGTATCCCGTAACGCGACAAACCTACTGTAGAAGACCCTTGGCGTTCCCAAACCAGGTTTGCTCCTTCCCGGACCTGCCCCGAGGCGCAGAATGATGTTATCCACCACACCTGTCGGTGCACCGCCTTTTTCCACACCTACCGCCAAGCCAGGCGAAGTCATTCGGACTAGGAGCCTCACCTCATCAAACCATACCAAACCAGACCCAGCCCTGGCTTCACCCTTCCTCACCCGTCTTGACCTGCATCCTCGGCTGACTCACCCTTCAGAAATACAACCTACTCTAACGCGCAGAAACGAGAAGAGCGCTGTATTCTCTATTGATATGCGCCATTCTCCCACCAACCCATGCCACCCATCCCATCCATCCCTCACCACACCATCATCATCCCCTGCTCACCACTCACCTCTTCATCATCAGCACCGCCTCACTGATCATCTCCATTTTCTGCAGCAGCAGTTCTGCCCCTATCCTTCTCCTTCCATCCTCCGTGCTTTTAGGGTTTGCTTGTTGGTCGCGATTCCTGCTTCCTTCTTAGTATCCTCCTGTCCTGAGCTTTTAGCGCTTACTTCTCCTCTCCGTGGCCGTCGTCGACCGGGCGTTGGGCAGCGAGGACGTCGTCGTCCACCTCGTTTTGAAGCGTGTAGCACTCTGGAGCTAGCAGTTCGCTCTTCGCGTAGACAATACCTCATGGTTTGTGCAACTAAATCCACGCCCAGATAAGACAGTGTAACGAAGATTCCACTTCTTCTTATATCCAGTCACAACGAAGCAAATAAAGTTTTTTTTCTAGTGATGTGTCCTCTTCGATGGAGTTGTAATCATTAAACAAGCGCTTGATCAGGGCGAAGCCTTCAGCTAGACGAATCATGGCACCAGGTCGCGGAACCGACCCAACTGACTCAATAACGGAGATGTCGGTCAGCGAGGACGCCTCGTCCTCCCTCTGTTACGACTCCGAGGAAGGCGCCGTGTCGTCCGGCCAGGCCAGGAGCCATGGCAAGCCCATGGCGTCGTCCGGAGCCACACCTGGATCATCGTTACAATATCATCCGCATTCCACGGCGAAATCGTCGGGTAACTCGCCGTCGCATACTTCGCAAGCGTCGCCGTCAGTCGCGGTGATGTCGTCTGGAGGGGTGCACGAGCTGCTGGAGTGTCCCGTCTGCACCAACTCCATGTTCCCTCCCATTCATCAGGTCAGCTTATCGTTTCCTTGGTCTTCCCCTTTTTTTCTGTCTTCCCTTTATTGAGGCTTCTAACCATAGCTTGCGGATTTAACGCTTCTTGAGAGGCGTCACATGCCAGCGCTTCGCGCCTCGATGGAAGTGCAGCGAAACTGCAAACTGCGTTGTTTCTCTCCCGGCATGAAAGACGTCCGTTAACGAATGTTGCCCATTGTACTGGCCTTTTTTCCGACGATTAATCTTCACGGTTTCTCGATCTCTCGAATATTCGCAACGATCGTATGCTTCTCTCGCACATCAAAGACTCTAGAGGCATGCCAAGCGTGAGTTGTCAACAACCCACCCCTGCACGGATTCATTTCGGTTTCATCATCTCCTTGACAACCCCACCCCTCCCCCCCCTTCCCCCCCCTCCCCCTCCCCCCTCCTCCCTCCGTGCAGTGTCCCAACGGCCACACGCTCTGCTCGCACTGCAAGGCGCGCGTGCACAACCGCTGCCCGACCTGCCGCTACGAGCTGGGCAACATCCGCTGCCTGGCGCTCGAAAAAGTCGCCGAGTCCCTGGAGCTGCCCTGCAAGCACAACTCCCTCGGTTGCCCGGAAATTCTCCCCTACTACTGCAAGGTGAAGCACGAGGCGCTCTGCGCGTTCCGCCCGTACTGCTGCCCGTACGCGGGGTCGGAGTGCGCGGTGACGGGGGACGTGCTGGCGCTGGTGGCGCACCTGCGGGACGACCACAAGGTGGACATGCACAACGGGTCGACTTTTAACCATCGATACGTGAAGCAGAACCCGCAGGAGGTCGAAAACGCCACCTGGATGCTCACGGTAAGCCAATAAAATGTCATGTTCGCCCATTGCTGTGGTCTGCTGCGTTCTACTGAGGCACGCCTGTTGTTCCGGCCCTTATTGTGTCATATCATATGCCCACTGTCTTGTGCAAATTAGAATCTTCACTACTGTTTCATGGTCCAAGCACATTCTGACTACATCCATTGGCTCAAGCTGCAGAAGCTCAGAACTGATTTTCAAGTGTGATGCTTTATGGAGCCATCTTTCTGTCATCGGGGCCTTCCAGCTAAGTGGAGCCCCAGCAGTCTCTGCCCCCTTTCCAAATTCCAACTGGGGTGATGCCTCCGCCAGGGTCTTTCGCTGTAGCCTGGTCTCGTTTCTCAGACCCCTCCCTCCCCCTACCCCTACGTTTCCTCGTCCCCAGGTGTTCAACTGCTTCGGCCAGCACTTCTGTCTGCACTTTGAGGCATTCCAGCTGGGCGGCGCCCCCGTGTACATGGCGTTCCTGCGCTTCATGGGCGACGACAGCGACGCCAAGGCGTTTGGGTACAGCCTGGAGGTGGGCGGCAATGGGCGCAAGCTGATGTGGCAGGGCGTGCCAAGGAGCATCAGGGACAGCCACCGGAAGGTGCGGGATTCGCATGACGGGCTCATCATCCAGCGGTCCATGGCGCTCTTCTTCTCAGGGGGGGATGGCAAGGAGCTGAAGCTGAGGGTCACTGGAAGGATATGGAAGGAGTAGCGTTTTGGGAGGGGGTGAAGCTGAGTGTTAAGGGCAGGTGACTGAAGGGGCGTCGGAGACAGACATCCGCAGGGGAGCTGCAGGGCTCGCATGACGGGCTGATTATCCAGCGGTCCATGGTGCTCTTCTTCTCACGGGGGAGATTGGAAGGAGCTGCAGGTGAGCGTCACTGGAAGGATATGGAAGGAGTGAGGACAAGGCAAGAGAAGAGAGACAGAAGCCATGAGGATATGGCACTGTGTTGGACAAAGTTGGATGGAAGGAAGTGTCCTTTCTGCGCCCTAGAGAGGAGGTGCTGCTGTGTTGTTGGGGGATGGAGGAAGGGGAAGCTGACTCGTCGTTGTATACAGGGGAGTTTACGGGCAGCAGGAAGCGAAGGAAGCAGGTTGAAGAGGGGTTGCAGCGGGTTGAGATGCTGCCTGGGGAGCTGAGCTGTTTGAAAGGGGGTTCAATCAACAGTGTCTTACTAAGACCCTCAGCTGGTGTGGAGAAGAGGCAACTCCAGCTGTGCAGGAGAGGTGCAGCCTGCTGCACGTGGCTGTTCACCAAATGGCCTTGTTTACTGACAGAGTGGTCTCGTGGGGCGGCATGGCCTGCCCTTATGTATAGGGACGACCACAACATTGCAACACGGATTTATGATGCACTAACCACTGGTTGGGCTGTTCCTTGCGAAACCTTTGAGCTGGTGTGGCTAGGAAGGGTCCATTGTTCAGCTGGTATGCTAAATGGTTGTGTTTATCTGGGCACTCCATTGCTTTATGCTTTTATTGATGGCTATCACATCTTGCACATCAAAAGTTTACTGTGAATTTCAGCCAGGCATGATCTACCGGTAAAACTCAAATTGTACAGCTAGCCCTGCAATAAAACTATTTACATCACCAGTTACAGGCCAGCTGTTATTGGAGTGGTCTTACTGTATGGAATTTTCCATTCCTTACCGAGCGGTACTGCTATCGCATACGCTCGAACACACCCGAAGCCTTGGGACGGTTCCGGACCTTTCCGACAAAACCACCTCGGCTTCTCCAGACCTTCTAGTTTGACCTTCGGGAGTTCTCCAGGCCTCGCTTCGTCACTTCGAGACCCTTTGATCTCTTTCCCAAACCTTCACATCTCATGGTTAGACTAGCTCTGGTGTTCCTTTATCTTGGCTTGCCATTCTTTGTATCGTCATTCAGTGACAGAACACTTCGTTATTCATTTTCGCGCTACTCTGCTTGTTCATTCATAACACCTGGTATTCAGAGCCGCTTTCCTCGCTCACCAGGGCTCAAAATTGGTTTAGGGGGACCCTTGGTAATCAGGGTACCTCAAAAAAATTGCCCTGCCTCCTAGGGTGGAAATTTCGGCACCCTTTGAAAATCAGGGTAAATTTGAAAAAAAAACCGAGTACACTGTTTGGCCAGGGAAAAAAATTGAACACCCTTTCATGTGCTTACCGTACAACAGTCGATCATACTTTCGAGTGCTTTCAGATCTAGAATGCATACAAGCACGTTGTCTCTAACATTATCAATGCATAGCTAGATAACCTACTACTACTACTACTACTACTACTACTACTACTACTACTACTACTACTACTACTACTACTACTACTACTACTACTACTACTACTACTACTACTACTACTACTACTACTACTACTACTACTACTACTACTACTACTACTACTACTACTACTACTACTACTACTACTACTACTACTACTACTACTACTACTACTACTACTATACTACTACTACTACTACTACTACTACTACTACTACTACTACTACTACTACTACTACTACTACTACTACTACTACTACTACTACTACTACTACTACTACTACTACTATACTACTACTACTACTACTACTACTACTACTACTACTACTACTACTACTACTACTACTACTACTACTACTACTACTACTACTACTACTACTACTATTACTACTACTACTACTACTACTACTACTACTACTACTACTACTACTACTACTACTACTACTACTACTACTGCATGTTATTGATTCTGATCCTAATTCATAGGAATGCGCTCTGATTCTCACGGCAGTCACTAATACTCCCGCTACTAATAGCACACTCTGCAGACCCACTATTCCCCCCGCCGACTGAGCTGGGAGCAGCAGAGGGTGTTGCGTTCTCTGGCTCAGCAAACAGCGCCGAACTGGGGATGGCGCCGGTGAAGTCTCGGATAGTGCGGCGGGGCTTTTCTCCACGAAAGATGGCCACCACGTCGAACCAGTCCACGTCATAGTCCAGCAGGGAGCACCGCATGAGATGGCCGAGGGTGATGTCGCCCATGCTACCCCGCGCCCATGTCTTTATCAGGTTCTGCTTGGAGAAACCGCGCTCGCAGTCGACAGTGCTCAGCGGGAGAACGGCGACAGCTTGCCACATGAGCATGATGTTGGGGTAGCTGAGCTGCCAGTTGCTGTCACGCAGCGTGTTGCTCAGCGCCTGGAAGAAGTCCTCATGATGATGCTGGGAGTGCATGGTGGATGTGAACATCCATAGCTCCGTGACTGCATTGTTGTACTTGAATCCTGCAAGGGGGGTTCGGGGCGGTGAGGGAGGAATGGTTCAGTGTTGAGACTTGAGAGGCAGCGATTCTGTTCGCATTGCATAGCATACCATGACTCCATGGTTGAGAAGTAGGCGCTCTAGATTACCTGGTAGCTTGTGCCGAAACAGGCTGTCCAGCTGCTTCAGCCACTTCTTGAAGGCCGCCACGCGTAGGATGTCGTCATCCAGGTAGGTCTTGTCCAGGAACAACTTAGTCCCCTCCAGGTTACGCAGATCGTTCAGGCGGCGGTCGAGGAACATGTTGACGGAGCGAGCATACTTGACGCAGAGCTCGAAGCAGGCTGTCACGTCGCCGTCAGAATCTTGGCCTGGCAGCGGTCGCTCGTGGAGTTCGAAGGAGAACGACTGCGGGTTTCCGTCACCGTCGACGCCCTCTGCCATCATCACCCGCTTGTCCTTAGCTGCATGCGCCGCGATGAACTCCGGCAGATGGAGCTTCTCCCCATGGCCGAAGCCGTGCCCAGGCCCAGAGCTAAGATAGCGCGCCGAGATCCGCATCTTGGTTTGCTCAACCACATGTGCCACGAGTGTCACGTCAACCTGTACGGGCGGGCACAACACATGCACCATGCATCAGTGCTATGCTTTGCGCCGGAAACCACATGGACCGGTCGGCAAACATGGGGGGTGAGAGTCAGACACGCGTAGCGATATATTAAACAGATCAGACACGGTTATGCATACCTGGCGCTGCTGAAACCGTTGGTTGAGGATGTTCAGCTCTGTCAGAATGTCGGCGAGGAAGCGCAGGAGAAAATGAAACTTAAACGAAGTAACGACTTCATACAAGTCACTCCCATGCTCGCGTAGCAGCAAGATGGCGGCTGGGAGCACGTCCACGAGGCGGTTCACCGCCTCGCCCCTGGAGAGCCAGCGGATGACATGGATTCCCTGGTGTTCCAGGGTCGTCTGACAGAAGATCAGCTGCAGCGCCATGAAGCGGGTGTAGCGCACGTGACTGCGTCCAAGGATGTCGGCCAGTGTCCGTATGATAAGGTCAATGATGCTTAGCTCGGGCACGGCTGCAGCCGCGTCCTTAGCCGCCAGCGCCTCCCTGAAGGCGGGGTGGGAGGATAGGGGAAGAGTAGTAGAAAGGCTGATGTTACTTCCAGGAATATAAGGCACGACCATGCATTTCATCCGAAAGTTTATACGTCCGTCGAACCGCAACAAACCGATGGGCAATGCAGTGAATCGAGACGAGGTGCTCGATTTGTGCGCGTAGACGGGTCACTACTCCGCTCCGCTCACCGGTCATTACGGAAGCTCCATCAGTCGCGATGCCCACGATCTTTTGCAGGTCCAGTCCAATTCCCTGGATGTAGTGCAAGAGGGAGGAAGTCAGAGATGCCGCGTCAATCCGCTCGACACTCAGAAGTGTGACAAACTCGGTCGCCACGGTGTTGCCCTTGAAAAACGTCGCGTAGAGCACGAGATGTTTCCCGTGGATGCGATCCGTGCTCTCGTCGATGTTGATGCCGGCGTAGGGAGAGGCGTGAAGGTGTTTCAGCTGTTCCTCCTGCAGATACTCCGACATGGACCGTATGCTCTCCTTGAAACCGTAACTGCATGATACGGAAACAAGGAGAGACGGACGGCAGGGCATTTGTACCATACAAGAAGGCCACAATTTGTGCACGTGGGGAGGGAGGACGAGCAGTGAGCATCAAACGGCAAATCGCACAGCACAAGAACTACTGTCAAGGTTTCAACATACTCTGTGTAGTAGGCGCCGTACCCACCACTTGGCGGCAGATCGGGGTGGCCTTCCTTCGCAAGGAACCAACACAGGGGGATGAACATCGCGATGGGCGCATCATGCCTGCAAATGAACAACGCGATGTGCAGCATGCGAATAAGATGCCGCGTCTGGTGATCCGTCCGCTGCCAGCGGGTCAGCGTCACTTGTCGCGCGCGCTCTTTCTCAGCATCCTCCTCCGCCTTGATCGCCGATTTGTGCGCACGGGTGCCGATGTGAGAGCGGATGCTGCCGAGCTGCAAATCACGCCCACCCTTACCCTTGATGCCATACGACGTGTTCGCACATGGGTCGGCGTGTTTGAGGCACGTGGCGCACTTGAGAGCAGGTCGTCCGTTCTTCATTCGATGTAGCCGCAGCCAGGGGAACCGCTTCGACCAGTCATTGTCGAAACGGTTCTTTATTACTGCATACTCGGCCTCAGCAGCGGTCGTCGGCAGAGCGTCGGCAGCAAGCCCGGCAGGGCGAGAAGCGCGCGCGGGAGGCGGGCTTGCTGGGCGGCGAGGCGGAGGCGCACCCCAGAGGGTCGACCGCGTCCATGCGGACCGTCGCGGCCTTTTGGCGGTCTCGGAGGTAGGGGAGGGTGGGGTTGTCACGGAGGGATGGTCGGACTCATCTGCATCGGCAGACTCTGAAACGTCGATGGGCTCGATGCCCCGTTGAGATGGAGAAAGGGATCTAGGAATCTGTGGTGGGGCGGGCTGAGGAATTTGCAGAGAGCGCGGGGGAGATTTACGCTGGCTGAACGAGGGCGCGACTGCTGGTTGAGCGAGGGGGAAAACGCCGAGGACGCTAAGGCCATCACGATGACCAACATGGCCATCGTCAGGCTCGTCGTTCTCGGGAACGGCCATGTCTGAGTAGTAGAAGCGATAGAGTAACAATTAACGAGGGGAATGGTTGACCTAGCTCGGCTGGGTTGGGTGGAAGTATGAAGAGAAGGTGGGGGAAGAAGAGGATGAGGACGATGGGCCAAGAATGGTCTCGTGATAGGGAACGAAAACCACACAGCGCGGCAAAGTCAACCTGCTATGGCAGACTGTCCTTGCGCCGCGGGTGTTGCTGCGCTGGTGCATGCGATGCCCAGCTGTCCTTGAGACCACGCGGGAAAGTGGCCTCGATGCATAGCGCATACTGCATCTGGCACGCCGCTGGCAGTAGGGCTGCCACAGCGCGACGAATTCACTGCCACGCGCGCCGATTCTGGGGGGTTTGACTGCCAGTGGGCGGGCATGGCTGGTGGGGTTTCACGCGTGGCAGATTCGACAACAATCGAATCTGCAGACCTTGTAGGCTTCTGTTTCAGGGTGTTTTCGGCAACACCCTGCCTTGTCAGGGTATATCATGGTTTACTCTGGCTACAGCAGGGTAAAAATAAACTTACACGTTTAGCGAAAGTGTCACAAAAAAAAAACCCTTTGAAAATCGGGGTGATCCTGAAAAAGCGGCCGCTGGCAAGGGCAATCACGGTGAAATACCCTTCAAATTTGAGCCCTGTCGCTCACCCGTTTTCGTGAGTTGATTTTTTTGGGAGAGGGGGGGGGGGGGGGGGTTAAGTCCCTCACATAAGCTGCAAAGTGGTTGCCCGCGAATTAGATTGATTAATTCGCCCAACTACGATAGCGTTTACGTTTACCTGAATACAGGCACACTACGGATTTCCCTTTGCCCCGGCAGAGCATTCACCAAATGGACCAAGCTCACTTCAACGAGCTTCGGGATCAGTTCAACGCCATGAACACACGCATGGCTACAGTGCTGGAGAGCAACGAGCGACTTCGTGCAGAAGTTGCCGAGTTACGCCAGGCGCGAGAGGATTCGCGCCAGAAAATTGCAGCCCAATAGGAGGTCGCCAGTCTCAGAAACTTAGGACTCAAGGTTCTTAAACTTAGGAGGCTAGGTTGGCTAGAATACTAGGAAGAAGGCCGCCATGGAATGGCATGAGGAAAACGGATCTAGGAAGGGAGAGAATGTCGAAAAGAAAGGTGTTTGATTAGGAAGAGAGAGGAGTACAAGAAGGGGTTTGTACCCTCTACAGAAAGGTTCAGTAACAACCTACCAAGCCTATATTAAATTATAACTTATATAATTTTAACACACCCCCTAGGCTTGGTAGTGTCAAGCCCACGCACACCCCCACACCCACACCCACACCCACACCCCCTAGCCCAGCACCCCCATTCCCAGCAGGAGCCGAAACGACTCCGGAAGAGGGTAGGTCTCACGGCCCCTTGAGACGGCAATGGCGGCAGCAGCGACAGTGACGACAGCGGCGGCGGCGGCGGTGTGCGGCGGCTCCAGGCCTGCGGCAACAGCGGCGGCGCCGGGGGCTCGAACGACAGAGGCTGGTGCGGCGGCCCCCGCCCTCTCGGCGGCATGTCCTGTCTCCTCGGCGGTGGAGAGGTCCCTCACATGGCAGTCATCGGCTGCAGCAAGAAAGGGGGGGGATGCAGGGGAAGCAGGTGCAGGTGGGGGGGGGAGGGGAGGGGGCGGGGCGAGGCGGGTCTTCAGCGACGCGCCATAAATGGCGCGGCGCTTACTGGCGGGAGGACGTCGTCCTGAGGGACGCCCGTCTGTGGCGAGCGGGCGGCAGGCCCGGCGACGCCACAGACGTCGCTCGGCCGGCCGCAGCCCGACGATGCCGTCGGCAGCCGCAGACGCCGCCACAGCGCACCGTCAATGTCGCAGCGGCGAGGCGGACGGGCGACGGCTGCACCAAGGGGCCGTCGCGACACCTTGGCGCCGCGACGGTAGGCAACGAGGGACCGTCGCGACATCTTGGTGCCGCGACGGCAGGCAACAAGGGGCCGTCGCGACATCCTGGCGCCGCGACGGCAGGCAACAAGGGGCCGTCGCGACAACTTAGTGCCGCGACGGCAGGCAGGCAGAAAACCGCGAAGGCTGCGAATGCAGTAGGAGTACGCAACGGGAACGTAGGGAGAGGGTCCGGTGGACACGACCAGCTCTGATACCATCTCAGAAACTTAGGACTCAAGGTTCTTAAACTTAGGAGGCTAGGTTGGCTAGAATACTAGGAAGAAGGCCGCCATGGAATGGCGTGAGGAAAACGGATCTAGGAAGGGAGAGAATGTCGAGAAGAAAGGTGTTTGATTAGGAAGAGAGAGGAGTACAAGAAGGGGTTTGTACCCTCTACAGAAAGGTTCAGTAACAACCTAC